TCTTATGTTGTTAAGGATGATGTTTGTACTTTTACGTTGTTAAAGATGATGTTTGTACTTCTGATGTTGTTAAAGATGATGTATATGACGTTGTCTGGGATGCTGGTACTATTGGCGCTTGTGATAACGATCTTGTTACTGGTGGTTCTGGTGGTACATATGACGCTTGTGATGACGATCTTGCTACTGTGAATACTATAGTTTCTGATGTAGTTATTATGGTATATGTAGTAAACAAACGATCGTACACATTGCATGTACCATAGTTGTTAACGCTAACTTGCCGACGACGAGATTCTGATCGTTTTTCAACATTTGTCGCTTTTCCAGCAGGTGTTGCTTGCCCAGCAGGTGTTGCTTTCCCAGCAGGTGTTGCTTGCCCAGCAGGCGATGTTTTCCCAGCACGTGTTGCTTGCCCAGCAGGTGTTGTTTTTCCAGCAGGTGTTGTTTTTTCAGCAGATGATGATGTTTTTTTAGCAAATGTTGTTGTTTTTTCAACAGTTGGTGATGTTGTTGGTATGAAAGCTTGTGCAGATGTTTGTGTCGTCTCAGCAGGTGGTGTCGAAATGACCCCTCCTTCTGGATCACAAGCTATATTCTCATAAGAACAATTCACGTATGCTTCAGTATTAGTAATGTTATATGGCTCACAATTACATTTTTGTGGTATCGATGGTACACATGGTTTACTCTCAGGTGTATGACAATAAATAATTTCATTATCAACTTCTCCATTTTTATAATATTTATAACAATTACATGTCTGTGGTGGCGGTGGTAGACATGTTGTGTATTTAACAGTTGTGGTATATGGTATTGTAGTAACGTATCTCGTTACTATTGTCATGGAATCTCGTTTTTGCAAATTTATTATATCAACATGATCATTTGCAATTTCATTAGGTTGGATAATCGCCACAGTTCCAACGATTCTAAAAAGAATCATTAATATGAAAACCTTATCGACGTAATAGACCATCAGTATTTTTTTTTTTAAATGTGATTTTGCATTAATGTATTAATTCTTTTTAAAAAAAGTGGAATTAAATATCAATCTATAACCCATATTTATATAAATTTGCAAGTATAAATTACAACACTCGACCTAGATTATCTTATGAAATCGAAGAATTTTTGTAATATGTTGCACAAATAAGCTTTTTTTTAATTAAAATCACCTATTTAAATCCATTGGTACAGTGCCAAATGCTCAGATTAGTGAATGATTTTTTTTTTATACATGCGCGTTATAAAAATAAATTATTTTAATAACTTGATAATTCTCTAAAAAGAATTTTCATTTATAAAATACTTCCAAATGGAAACTCATTTTTGATAAATGAAAATCTTTAATCAGTTCATTTTATGAAGCATTTACGTTTATTTAATAGTTAAAATATAGTCAGTTCTTAATATAATGAGCCTTTTATATTTCTAAATTTTATTATAAGCTTAATAAATATTATATAATGAATTTTTAATATAAAAATAATAATTGTAGAGTTGTCAAATGATCATACTTGGATAAAAAAACTGTTATATAGCTACTCAATACATATAACTTACCGAGATAGCTCCAACAAATTAATAATACTGAGCAAAGTTTTCTAATAATTCCTATATTCTAATTGTAAATTTAATTTTCTAGTTATCCTAAATTTCGTTTATAATCTGCATGATTTTTCTGTCTTTCTGTCACAATGGGAAATTATTCATTGAAATTTATATTATGACAATCACATACGTATAAGGTGTTAAAATAAAAAAAATCAGGTATACTTTTATTGGAAAGTTGCATCAGATTCTGATTACCTGGAATTATTTTATCATTCAGTTAGAATTTAAAAGATATGCGTCGATAAGCATCAAAGCCTGGAAATTCCATATTTATTTGTCATGCAAAACTGTGTGACCCTTATGATCATTATCATAAATAATAATTATAATTGCGAAATTGTATGATTAAGTTTATAAGGCTATAAATAATTTCACCAGCAGTCAAGGTTATCCTGATTTAGAGTCGATTTGATTTTTAAGATTTAGGTTGGCTAGATTTCAGGCGTCAAGGAATGATTATCGGAATCGCACAATCATTATAAAAACCTTGATGCTTATTAGAATCTGGTCTTATTGTTGAATTCAGGGCGTGCACTTATTTGTGCAATACAAATCCAAAAATGTAGATAGAATATAAGAACGTAAATCTTGGTTATCTGGCATGTGCGAGTAGAAAAAAGCGAAAATACAATAAATGAGTGCTTAGTAACAATAAATTAAAATGATGGGGATAAAATTTTATCTATGGAATTTGTAATCATTCTTGCATTTTCTTTCTAACCATGAAACCTTTCCAACTCTAACTGATTTTAATGATCAATTTAAAAAAAAATACTTATTTTTTACAGTACGTTTGTACTGTACTGTACATACGGTGCAGGAAATCTAAAAATTCAATCTCTCTAATATAGAGATAATGTATCAACTAGTAGCACATTTCTTAAATTCTCAATAGAGTGAATGATCTAGAATTCTCAAAATTTTATAGAAATAATTTGTACAGTACTTAATAGCAACTATTCTGTGCATGTTGAAATCAGTTGCCACTTAGAATGACATATTTTAGCTTATCTCCTATGAGTTAGTCAACCTTTATTCTATATAAAATGATTGTAGAATTCCCTACACCATCGTACGTTAAATTTGTTAAATTTCCTTTTGAGGTGCAACATTCAAAAATTTCTAGGAGATCTTACTTGATTTATAACTTTAGTAAGCCAAATTAGGTATGTACTACATAAAAAAAGTATGCATTGTTATGAATTCCATTTTAAAGACACCATTTATAAGTTTAAAAATCAAGTGACCAATACAACAGCTCAATGTTACACAAAATTCATGTATTTTCACATGACGATCAACCAATCAATGCGTAAGTTTCAAAAAAAAAATGCGAAAAAAAAAGAAAATGCAAAAATAAAATAAAATAAAATCGAGGAAAAATTGAAGCTATAACAATTTAAAGCTCAGATAAATGCATTGTATTTTGCTATGTAATAAGTAATCGCATCTTTATTTAATTTATTTATTAACTAACGAACTAATTCTAACAATCAATATTTATAAAAACAAATAATCTTTCCTATTCTATGCATAATCTAGATTCTAGACATCATATAACCTCTAATAATGCGATAGTAATTCTATCGAAAGAACTTTTATAGTTCTAAACGAATATAAGTATTTTTCAT